GCGGCGACAAGACCACGAAAACGTTCTGCGGGACGCCCGATTACATAGCGCCGGAAGTTAGTTGAAATTTTCCCTTTTTCTTGATTTTTTTAATACTACGTTACCGATTGATCGTTACCGATCGAACGTTACCGATCGAGTCTCTCCTTCGGTACAGATCATATTGTATCAACCGTACGGGAAGTCGGTCGACTGGTGGGCGTACGGAGTGCTGCTGTACGAGATGTTGGTCGGTCAACCACCGTTCGACGGCGAGGACGAGGAGGAATTGTTCGCAGCAATAACCGAGCATAACGTCAGCTATCCGAAGAGTTTGTCAAAGGAGGCGAGGGAAATTTGTAAAGCGGTGAATACGAGTCTTCTCTCTCCAAGATTGTTTCAACGAGCTCGATTTGCAATTATGCGTTTTAACCCTTTGCTCTCGGTCACCACTGAGATTGTTGAACTTGAATGGCGACAATACTTATTTATGTTTGATTCTTTTAGAATATCATAAATAGATTTTATAGTATAAGCTCTTTATAGTATAATCTTATGATTATGTAATTTTATCTTATAAGTAGATGAGAACGCCTGGAGTGCAAAGGGTTAATAATAATAATAAAATGATTTTATAATATTTTTCTCTCTTTATTAGGAAGTGTATATATACATATAATAATGATTATACGATTTAAATTATTTTATTTAATTTATTTTAATAATTTTATTAAAACGAATTTAAGAATTTGTGTACACTTCCTGATAAAGAAGTAAAGATCCAAGGAGATCTAATTTTTCTTAATTCTTTTTCGTTAAATAATTCCTTTCTCTTTCAGTTCCTCACGAAGAATCCTGTGAAGAGACTCGGTTGCGGGCTACGAGGGGAGGAGGACGTACGGAGCCACGCGTTTTTCCGACGTATCGATTGGGAGAAGATAGAGAATCGGGAGGTGCAGCCACCTTTCAAGCCGAAAATCGTGAGTATAAGATGAGGCGAAGAAAGGAAGGAAGAGAGGAGAAGTTGAACGTTTGATTCCGTAGAAACACCGCAAGGACGTAAGCAACTTCGATAAACAGTTCACCTCGGAGAAGACGGATTTGACTCCCACGGACAAGTTGTTCATGATGAACCTGGATCAAACGGAGTTTATGGGTTTCTCGTTTCTCAATCCGGAATTCGTGCAACACGTTTAAATCGATGGAATATCCTATAAGTCACTGGCTAGTTTTAATCTCATACGTCTCTCTCTCTCTCTCCCTCCATCTCTCCCTTCAAAGACATCTTCATCTTCGCTACTCAGGGGCTTTCACCGTTTCATTTCCCTATCTCTTTCTCTGTCTATCTATCTCTATCTCTAACTCTGTACTTCTTCCTTCCCCCGTTCGATATCGATCCACTTTCTCCATTCTTCGAAACTTGGCA